CTTTCCCTAGGTCTGGCTAACGTAGGTACAACCAGCCTGAGATTCACAACTGCAACAACTGAAGGGTAAAAGCTGAGGAGCTTTCAGATCCTGGAGCTCCAAAAAAGGAAAACTTCAGCCTTCACAGGCCTCAGGATTTTTCCCTATTTCTTAAGAAGTCCTTCCAGGGAAGCATTTCAACACAAAGGCTGAAGAAGGACAACTGTGTGCCATTTCTTTCTTTCTTTTTTTTTTAAATTTATTTTATTTATTTATTTTTGGCTACGTTGGGTCTTCGTTGCTGGGCACGGATTTTCTCTAGTTGCGGCAAGCAGGGGCTACTGTTTGTTGCGGTGCGCGGGCTTCTCATTGCATTGGCTTCTCCTGTTGTGGAGCACAGACTCTAGGCACGCAGGCTTCAGTAGTTGTGGCACGTGGGCTCAGCAGTTGTGGTTCGCGGGCTCTAGAGTGCAGGCTCAGTAGTTGTGGCACACAGGCTTAGCTGCTCCGTAGAAGGTAGGATCTTCCCGGACCAGGGCTCGAACCCGTGTCCCCTGTGTTAGCAGGCAGATTCTTAACCACTGCGCCACCAGGGAAGCCCCTGTTTCTTTTTAAAATTGGATACTTGAATGGTACTTCCTTTTTAGGAATTAAATAACTGAGAAGGAGAAAATGGCAGTCTTTTCAAGTAATATTCCTAAAACTTTAAACTACTTAGTCTGTGATACTAACGGCTAACAAGCTAGCCAACACATGGGTATTCTGTATGGATAAGATAAGCAAACACAGGAATTTACAAGAAGAAAACAGCAAGAAGAAAAAGACAAAGGACCCAGAGTAGGTTCTGTAACAGAGAGAAAAAAATGTTCTCTTCTTCCCGTTAAGTCTTTCATAGCATAAACCTTTCATGATATAGTTAACCCTAAAACCAATGGGACAGGTGGTATGCCGTCTTAGCCCAAAACCACGCCAATGACTTTCATCAATATGGTGTGTTTGAGGATTTTTCAATTCACCCTTTGGGAGTCATCAAGAAAATCCTTGAGATACAGAGAGCTGGCAGGATGTCAGAGAGTGGGGAGAAGCAACCTTGCTCACTACACCAACTCACAGGCAGGGTGGAGAAAACAGAGCTAAGTATCAGTCCTCTTAAATATGTACAGCAACCAAACAGCTGGTCCCAGAGTGTGCTGACTGACCGATGTCTGACCAGAGGGCAGACAAAAAAAAAAGGCAAGCAGACAGACACATGTCTATTACCATTTTGACCTCCAAACTGGAGAGGGACTGATAACATATAGCCCAAGCAAATCAGGATTTCAGAGTAGTTCAGGCTGGAACCAGGAGCTAAAATCAACAAGGGACTAGCGAATAAGCCTGCATTTAGGTTCCAAAAAAAAATCATCCTAGGGCTTCCCTGGTGGCGCAGTGGTTGAGAGTCCACCTGCCGACGCAGGGGACATGGGTTTGTGCCCCAGTCCGGGAAGATCCCATGTGCCGCGGGGCGGCTAGGCCCGTGAGCCATGGCCGCTGAGCCTGTGCGTCCGGAGCCTGTGCTCCGCAACGGGAGCAACAGTGAGAGGCCCGCGTACCGCAAAAAAAAAAAAAAAAATCATCCTATATAAGATGTGAAAGATCTTGTTTGACAGCAGGTTTAGGGGGAAAAAAAAACCTATATTAGTATGTCCCAGGAGTGGGACACAGCTACTAAAAACAAGTGTATCTCTAGTTATTGTTTAAAAAGAAAAGCATCTTTTAAAAATGCATGTATGCATGATGGGAGAGAGATCTGTTTCAATTCATTTAGAGGGCTGAAATTAAGACCACAGAGTTGAAATTACAAGTGTAGATTTCAATAAACATGGAATATGTTACTGAAGTGCAGTGAGTTCTCCATCATTAAGGATATTCTCGGGAGGCTGAGTGACCCTTTGTCAGGGATGCCACCAAAGGAAGTCTAGCAGAGAGAGGAAGTTATTCTAGATCCTTGCTATTCCACGTGTGATCCGTGGTCGGGGAGCATCAGAGTCGCTGGGGAGCTTGTTAGAAATGAAGGTCTCAGGCCCCAGGCAGAACCACTGATTCAGAATCCGCATTTTCACACAATTATTGGTGGTTCATATGTACATGAAAGCCTAGTAGTACAGTACTCAGTGATAGTAAAAACTCCAGCACCCCACTACCTGTGAAATACAGGAGCAAAAAGGGCAAGTCTTGGGCTCAGCTGCATGAGTTTTAACTTGCTACTAGTAATAAGGGAGGTAACACTGTCCAAGAGGTCACCAACGACATCTGTGGCTAAATCCAACAAGTCCCCTTCTAGACTTACCTCACCGACTCCAGGGTAACATCCAACACCATTGCCCACTCCCTACCTCTTTAACCATGATTTTCCCCTGGCTTCATGAGGACACTTTCCTGGCTTCCCTGCTGTTTCTCTGGCTGTTTTCCTCAGCCTCCCTTTCTCTGCCGCCCCATAAATGCTAGTGCCTCTCAGCATGTTGACCTAAGGTCTCTGTTCTTTCTTCCCAGCCCACATACTCCGCCAGAATGATCTCTTCTAATTCTTCTAATTTTAAACTATCAACGAGGGCTACCCTAGTGGCGCAGTGGTTGAGAGTCTGCCTGCCGATGCAGGGGACACGGGTTCGTGCCCTGGCCCAGGAAGATCCCACATGCCGCGGAGCAGCTGGGCCCGTGAGCCGTGGCCGCTGAGCCTGCGCGTCCGGAGCCTGTGCTCCGCAACGGGAGAGGCCACAGCAGTGAGAGGCCCGTGTACCGCAAAAAAAAAAAAAAAAAAAAACCTATCACCAAATGTCTCTCCTATCTCTGCCTTCAGGACAACATCTCTTCCAGGTTGCTGACCTGTTTACCCAACTAGCTGTGGGATATCTCAGAGGCTTCCTAGAACCTCAAATCCTACAGGACCAAAACTGAGCGCATCATCTTCTCACAAACCTGTTTTCCCCGAGGTATTTTCTGTCTCAGAAAAAGGCGCTACCAATGTCCCCTCTGGCGAGCCAAAAATCCAGGACTCACTGATGCCTAAGCCCCCTTCTCCCTCCTGCTGTACATCAGTCACTCAGCAGGTCCTGCCGCTTCTACTTTCCAGCCATCTCTTCAATCGTCCACATCTGTCCACGGCTCCATGGTAGCTGAGGGTACCCACTCTGGCTTCCCAGGGGACTGTGGCAGCCTCCCCCCATTTCATCTGGCCTCCCCGCTCGCTCTCCTCCAGCCCACCTCACACAGCAGGCTCCAGAGCAGCACTTCCAAACCACAAATGCGACCTCTCCTCGTTCTTCTTGAAGCTCCTCAGCAACACACTCCACCCTGCTCCCTTCCCCTGCCCCCATGGCTTTCAAGATAAAGTCTAAACCCTGAAACAGAGACAAAAGGGCCTTCAACGACCTGACCCTTTCCTAGCTCTCCAGCTTCACCTCTCCCCACTCTCCAACTCACAGCACACCTCAGCGACGCGGGGCTCGTCAGTCCCCTGTGTACGCCAGACCCCACCTGAGTTCTCAACTGTGCTCTGCTCTTTGCTCAGGACACTCTCCTTCCACTTCTTCAAGTAGTTAATTAGCTTTAGCTCATCCATATTCAACACTCCACCAGGAAGCCTTCCCTGATCAGGTCAGGTGCTCTGCCATATGCTCTCAGAGCACCTTATCCCTCCTACCCACCTCGCATTTATAGTACTGTGACACTGTAGGCTTTATCATCTGTCTTCTGAGCTAAACAGTAGGCTCCATAGAGCAGGGAACAGGCCAATCTGCTCATTACGGTATCTTCAGTACCTAGCTTCAGGCCTAGCACATCGAAGGTGCTTAATAAATACTTTCAGTAAAAACACAAAAATAGGAGGAGGGAAGCTGGGGCCTGGGTAAATTTTCCAGTGGCTAGATAAGACTAGAGACCTCAGGCTGCCCACAATTCAGGCATGTATTATTACCCAACCATTTTGAAGATGTGTACACCTGGTCACAGAAGGGACCGAGTAAGAGACTATGAACAAATTAAAATATATGTCTTCACATGTGCTGCCAGAAAGCAATGAATGCTCATGGCCACTGAAGATGGGTTAGTGGCAACTTTTCTATAGAGAAAACGTATTTCACCAATAAGAGAATGTATACAATCTTATTAACGATAAAGATTTTTATTCTGTTCCTTACCTGCTTTTTACAAATTGCCTGAATTCCTGAAGCTTCCATTTGTCATATTTTTCAAACCTTTTGAAGTGTTCTTCTGCATGAAATTTATCAGAAGATGAATTATAGGCAAACACCAACCCACACTGGGCACCAATGCCACCACGTCGAACCTGGAAATAGAGATCTAAATAAAGTACAACAAAGGGACCAAAGTTCTGTGGCCATTTTGTTCCCAAATAATATGGTCAAATTCAAATAGCTTAACGCAAAAATCAAACCAACAAAATGCGATTTAAAATACATTAAGTCCTGGAAAAGTAAGAAAGCTGCTTCCCAAGAAATGATTCCTTACTTTTCTTGATCCTTATACTCACACCATCTACAGACTTAACAATCTATTCATCTTTGTGCCCTTGCCCTTTGCTACAGGCCTGACACAGAATAAATAATCACTAAATGTTCAATGAAAAACCAGTGACATGGACCTCCGAAGTACAATCGTATTTTTAAAAACAGTAGTAACATTTCCTAAAGAAGGCAGCATAAGAATTACCATAATTCTGATATGAGTAACTTGGAAGGCAGATTCAGTTCCTGTAGAAAAAATAGTACTTGCTCTGGTTTTTCCAGTCTCTGTGAGAAAACCTACAAAAAAGAAAAACTAAAGTTAGGATGACTGAGGCATCTGTAATAACCCTAAGAACTAAGACCAACAAAACCAAAGCATATCCTTTGAGGCAGAGGGCATCTAGTCTATCTGGTTCTCTCATAAAAATTAGAAAAAGAAAGAAGAAAATGAGAAAAAGAATTCCCGTCTGGGCAGAAGCAACCCCCCGATAGACATCGAGGTAACAGAACATGGTCCAGGTATAACTTGGTCAGAGCACTATCTTTTCAACTATACAGGCCGCTCGGCTCTGAGGTAACGATAAAGAAATAAAAAGTTGATAAAGACTGTGACTTTAATTCAAAGAGACAAAAGACTGGACAATCAATCACCTTTCTGAACCATTCCTGAAACCATGACTGATGTTTGGCTGGGCTGTTAGAAGCAAGCAGGCTTAAAGGCTGAGAGAGGAATTAGATAGTTTCTTGAATACTCTGTCAGGAAAGACTGTAAAAGTCTTTGAAATGGGCAAGAAGAGAATGCTGGGTGTTTGTTCAGTGCACTCTTTGGGTCATCTCCCAAAGAGAACTTTCTTTGTCTCTGAACTATTTTACAACTCTGTAAATTGTAGAGTAAACTGTAGAATAATAACAGTAATGCAAAAGATTCTTGGCCACAGAAATAAAAATTGTGTCTATAGGAACATAGCTGATTATTCCTTATGAAGACTGACCAATTTTGCAACCATCTGTAGATTCATGTCAGCATTCTTACTGGTCTACGTGTATTAATGAGTTCTCCTTTGACCTGCTTGTAACATCTTACTGGTTCCCTCAGTAATTAATGGGATAAATAAAAAGACTGACGTCTTCATTTTATATTTGTATGAGAGTTGTGGTTCACCTTTTTTGCTGTTGTTAATTATCCTTTAAAAATTTACAAAAAGGTCTGTTAAATCCAAGGCTGCTTTTCTCTTTCCAACCTCTGTAAATTATATAACTTACACTTACTCAAATGAGCCTGACCACCCATTCTTCCCGAAACCACGAACTGCTTTCAACCACTCTGCCTTATCAAGATGAAAAGACTAAAACCAATTTCATGCTTATTTCATTACACTGAGTTCAATAAAACAAAAATTTGTGAAGTTAAATCTCCCTAAGAGATTTAAATAATATGCATTATTTATCACCAAAACCAAGAAAATTAAATCCAAAGGAACCTTTACTAAATCACAGGGAGAAGCTATTATTGATCTAATGCTATCAAATAGTAATTCTACAGACAATTTTAAGAAGCCATACGGCCAGAAATTCACACAATTCTACTAACAGTAATACTAAAAACTATCCCACTTATTGAACTGTCACCTTTCCTGGAGGTCTGGATGCCTCTAACTAATCAAATCTACTGTAAAGGCCGAAATGCTGCCTGGGAGTAGCTGCCAGTTTTCATTAGTCTCAAAGTAGCTGAAGTAATAATTTAAGTCAAAAGAATCACACTCTTTTAAAATAACATTGCCATCAATTTTTTTAAGGCACAAATAAATACATACGTTAAACAAATAAAGCTTAAAAAGTAAATAAATAAAACCTCTGTGCTTCCTTTTCTTGGTAAAAAAACAGCTGATAAGTCTAACTATAATATTTTAAAGCTACAACTGTTTGGACACCATGCCCCTCCTGCCCAATTTATTCTCTTAAAATGACAGGAAGAAAATAACCAATCTCAAACGTAAAGAATTCAATAACCCTACTCCTTCAGTTCTACTGGCAGCAGCCTGCACTCCTTTAAAATGCCAGACCCGTGGCTGTGATTCACGGGAGGTCAGCCCTCGGAGTGTCCACGTTCGGGTTCTCCGGGCACTCTGTGCAGCAAGGGGGAACGTCCAGTGTTTCCCAGCAGCTGGGGAACTTGAAAGGTAGCAGTGAAAAAGAGCTTTCGCCCCCATAAGGGGAAGAAACAAATCATTCCTCAAAACCCCACAGTTCTGGCTGTGAGGACTTTCCTCTGTCCTCCCTGTCTCGTTAGGTTCATTTTTTTGTAGAGGACGGAATCCTAACCTGAGTTGCAAGAAACAGACAGTGACGGTTGTGGAGGGAGAAACCAGGGGAAACCAAGGCTCCTCCCCACACCCAGTCACATCCCACCTGGGTGCTCATCAGAAACACAACGAAAGTAACAAATCCACACACTACAACTAGTTTATGCAATTTATCCATGCAAGGTTAGGTGGAAGGCAGGGAGGAGAGGGGGATGGATAAGACACCGGGAGAGTAACAAACTATTCAAATCAGACCAGGCAGAAGAGCTGGCAAATGCATTTCAATAGCTACAGAAAAAGCTGTGGTGCTTTCAGACTTAGAATGGTGTTAAAAATCCAGGCTGATTTTAAGGACAATGAAAACACCCTGTATGGTATTATAATAATGGATATAGGTCATTATACATTTGTTCAAATCCACAGAATGGAAGACATCAAGAGTGAAGCCTAAAGTAAGCTATGGACTTCAGGCGATTATGATGTGTCAATGTAGGTTCACTCTTCGTAAAAATGTACCACTCTGGTGAGTGATGTGGATAACAGAGGCTCTGCATGTGTGGGACAGGGGGCATATGGGAAATCTCTGTACCTCCTTCCAGTTTTGTCGTAAACCTAAAACTGCTCTTAGAAAATACAGTCTTTAAAAAGAAAGACTAGATGGAGACAATTTGAAATTGTTATACAAGTTTAAAAGAGTAAGATAAAATAAGAGAGGCCTTTCAGTAGATGATGATGAGAGTATGAAAAAAAAATCCATACACTGGTTTTAAGAAGATTCTGCCTTACATACTCCAGAGACAAAAATCCCAATTCTTCAGAGAGCAAAGGAAAACTGCAGAGGGCCTTTGGTAGAGTGGTCTTGCTTTCCTGAGTGTGGGGAGGGGGAAACGGGCAAAGAGCTGCCACCACCTCCTCCCAACCCCACTTTGGACGGCAGGTGACTGGGCGGTCTGCGGTGGCCTTCAGGGTGGCAGGAGATGAATGTGGGGGAGGAAATTTGTCTGCAGAGGCTGAGCTGCTCAGCGAGGACTGTAGGAAGCCTGTCTCATGTGGTAGTCACGGCTTAAGAAGACCACCAGGAGGAGGTGGGACTGGTGAGGCACGTTTTCCCAGGTGTCTTTACTCCACTGGTGCTAATGACCACAGGAAACAGAACAGAGAGGAGGCGACTACTGAGAATGCACAAGGTCTGTTCTGCTGTGAGGAAAGCCAAGGGGAAACCGAGTCCAAAGTGGTAAGGCCAGTTCCTTTCAATGTTTGATAACTACTGGAACATTCCACGTCCTTTTCTGAACTGGCAATATTCAAAGCAGTATAGTGAGTAGAAGGGGACATGTGCAGGAGACTAACCAGCTGGCCAACAAGACGGATGAGGAAGAGACTCAAAACACTCCCTGGATGAGGAAAAGAGCCACAGTGCTGAGGAGCACATCAGCAATCACCATGCTGATGCCAGGGAAGCAGTGAGGCTTCCTTCCAGACACTTCAAATACCAGAGCAGCCATATGGAGAAACACCCTCATCTTAAGCTACGTTTTTAGCACTAAGTGCTACTGATCCACTGAGTGTCTCAATACTATGAGATAACACAACAGAAAGACAATCTGAACTTAAAAATGGTAACTTTTTATATTCCAAGAGGAGAAGTCTTTGCTTTTCAAAACTGAAGGCTCTCAGGTACTTTTAAGTTGTCACAGGTGACTCACACGTAGCAGGTGGCAACGCTGTAGTAAAGAAATCATGCAAATGGTTCAGGAACCACTGAAGCGAACTGAAGGACATTGCAGCAAAGACTGCATATCTTGAAAGTTTCGAAGACCACAGTGCGGTTTCACACAGCCTCTAGTGAGCACCATGGCCCTTTCGACTCACTAAAACCCGACAGGTCCACCACTCACCGTCCCTCGTCCATGGCTCAACAAGGAGGTTTTCAGGTCCTGACTTCTCTTCTTTTCCCTTGACATCACAGGCCTGAAGAGTCAACTGCAGGGGTTTACCTGATCAAAGAAAAGAAAGAGAGAAAGAGACAGCCTGAAGCTAGCACTATGAAAAAAATGAAAACTAGAACGCTCATCAGTGCAAATGGAGAGCCTGTGGACACCCAGACTGCTCAGTAAAAATCTACCCATTTAAAAGCTAAAATAGGAAGTAATATTAGACAAAAGTTGACACCATCCTTTTCTGCTTTCCTGAAAGAAACAAAGTACAGCTTATGTCCCTAAGTAATTCTGAGGAGAATCATTCTAGAATAACCACTAGTTGGAAACAAAGCACATTATAAGACATAGATTAATAGCACAGGCTCAACATATTTGTGTGTTGAGTGGGGGGAAGGGAGGAATTCCTAAGACACTGTTTTGGAGCCAATAATTAATTTTATTGTAATTGCATTTAAATATATAAATAATGTCTTAGCATTCTGGGTCTTGTTTCTTTAAAACATCTCCAGGCAAATTTTGAAAGTTTTCAAAATTATAAAAATCAACTTTTGCTATAATGATCTGAAAACTTTTCTTTTTCTTTTAATATAATGAAAACCTTATAACCCTATTAACCTATAACCCAACCCAGAACTAGAACATTATCAATAATGAACATTCCTCCTCCATCCCGTGCTCCCTGCTCAAATAACTGCTAAACTGAATCAAAAACCTTTCTGAAGAATATTTTCCAGACACTACATATCCCTCCCATTTGGCTGTGCCTTCTACGGGCCCCTACCCCTCCAAAAAAATGACCTTTCCAAAATTGGGGAGGGACTGGATTTACAAGACATCGATTGTCAGACTTAAAAAATTAAACATAAAATACATTATTATAAAGTGATATTAAGGCAAAGGTACAAATATCACGAGGAAATATCACAGTATTGCCTCTATTACTGAAGAGGATGGGATCCAATACTGTACTTGTGGACAGAAACTTAAGCACTAGAGGCCAGGATAGCACATGTCCACTGCAGTCATCAACTCCTGTGTTGTGAAGGATTAGGAGGCCCCACCCCCAGTCAGTAGAAAAGTGCTAAGATGGACTGCCATTGGGCCCAGGAGGGGAAAGTGATGGCAGGCATGTATGTATGACCATATATGTTGTCCCAATCAGCTATAAACTATCACAAGGATGCAGAGGGATGGATTCCAGGACAAGGATCCTTTGCTCTGGGTCTGGGGTGGTTTCCTCCCTCCTCCAGATGAGAGGTACTCTAACTTCCCAACCTCTTGACCTACACCATGAGACACTCCCATACTTTATCAAAGATGGCTGTGTTCAAATGGCCACCAAGCCTAAGTGATTAGGCCAGTAAATCCTGGGAGTACAGCGTAGTGAACACTCAGGTCCTCTTCTGCTAATGCATCCATAAATGAACCAACATCTCCCTTCTCCCTACCAACCCCAAAGAAGATACACTCTTCCAGAAATCATTGTATAACTACAACGACCGAGCCCATAAACTACACAAAAAGATAAGAAGATGTCAGGAAATTCCACGTTGGTGACGGTTTTATGACGTGTGCATCATGCCGAGGTCATTTACCATATTTAAGGAGCAGGTTCTGCCTGACTGATGCCATGGATGAGATGAGGGATGAGGCATCATAGTGTGTGTCCAGGTGGTCAGTGACAGCACACAGAGAGCTCAGCACTTTGGCAACACTCCCTCTTGCTAGTGCAAAAGCCAGAAGAGTCAGCTCCACCTCTGGAGTAGAAGAGCAGCTATAAACAAAGAACAAAAAACACTTCACTTCTTAAAACTATGAGAAAATCCAGGTAGCTCGAACTCTGTGTAACTGATGACATAAGCAAAATCAACCTGCCATATGCTTTCTCTGTTTACCAGAAATACTTTTTCAAAATCCTTAAGACAGCCTAAAGAAAAACTAAATCAACCCAGAGGACCAGGAAATTAAATCTTCACTTCTGTAACCTTCACCTATAAGTATTAAATAATGCTATCAACTTTAGTAAGTCAAACTTTACAAACCAAAATTAAATAGGCTGTTGCAATAAGCCCCTGCTATGAAGAAGCCTCAGGTAATAATCTGGCTTGGCCAGAGTGTTAAGGGCTTATTCCTTCAAACACCAATAACGTATTTTAGATCTATGCCACATCACATCTGCTTTTTTAAACATACTACACTGAAACTTTTAAACCTGTCTAGATGGGGACTTCCCTGGTGGTCCAGTGGTTAGGACTCTGTGCTTCCACTGCCAGTGGCGTGGGTCTGATCCCTGGTTGGGGAATGAGGATCCCCACATGCCATGTGGTGTGCCAAAAAAGAGAAAAAACAAAACAAAACCCTGTCTAGATGGCTCAGGGCCTGGTTTGTACTCTAACAGGGCTCACTATGACAGAGCTGAGTGTCCCCACACTACGCGACCCCTCAAACAGCTAGCAGGGTGTCCTTTCCCAGGTCTATGGACAATCAGGCTTGTTAGACCTCTTCATGGAGACAGCAGGTGCTGGGCTGGGGATGTGAGGGAACTGAAAGGCTTTGCATTCCGGACTTTGAGACCCCTGCTCTAGCTGAATCTGAGGATTACTCCACACCCACCCCCAACTCCTGAGGGCAGGTGTACTGCTAGATCATGGAGTTTACACGGGTACACCGTTATTTCACTTTCTCTTCAGTCACTACAAATGATTCTTTAAAAAAAAAAAATCTTTAAAAGATTTTAAAATTAAAAAAAACAAAAAAGACTCATCAAGCACATATGCCCTTTATCCCCCACCAGCTCTTATCAACCTTATCAACCTTAATTTTACCTAGTTATCCTTATGAGGAAGCTGTCCACTTCTTCCAGAACGTTGGGAGACAGGAAAGTTGAGAAATCTGTAGATCCTGGTGAGAGGGAAAGTGGAGGCATGTGCTGCAGTGCCTTCCTAGGAGTGTAAAATGTGCAATCAGAACAATCCCTGGCAAACAATAAACTTAATAATACAATTTTAGACAAAAAAAAAAAAAATTGTTGGAAGCTTGTTTGGATTAATCCCATATCAAGAAACAGACAGTGTTCCTACAGAGAACCCGGTACCTAACACAGATCAGCCTTTTTCCTGCAGGGGTCCTGGTGCTAAACAGTTTAATGAGGTTTCTTTCTTTCCTTTTCTTTTTTCTTTAAGAGTTCCATTTCCCTCTATAAAAGCTCATTCAACCCTCTGGAAGCAAGTGTTCATTTTAAGTAGTATGAGCAAAAGACATATGTCTACAGAAAAACCCTGAGTTCTTAGAAAACTTGACCCCAGGGGCAGAGCTGTTTGTGACACACACAAAAAATTCATCTTCAGATCTCTTGTATCTAAAGATGCATCATGATATGTTTATTTTATCCTAAACATATCAGCACCTGTCACCTTCTCTATTCCTGCCTGTGTTTCTTGGCCCTTCTACCTCAGAGTCTGCTTTAATGTTTCTCTTTTCTCATCTCCTTTTACAATAGCTTTACCTCCTCTGGACCAGCAGTCATCTAATAAATTTATGCAACAAGATATTACGGAGTCCTACTTGTGCCAGCAACTGTGCTAGGCAATGAGTGTACCATGAACAACATGAAGGTACAGAAAAAGTCACTCAAAATTCTACACTTGATAGTCATTTTATGATAATAGTAGTGGGAATCCCTGAAACTGTTTTATTTCTACATTTCACAAGAGACAAAACAGCAAGGCTAATAACACTGTGTCAGCTTCCACTCTGCTCTCGTTTCTTGTCCCCTCTATATGAGCTGCATCAGTAGGGCAGCTACACTAACATACAGTCGATCAACAAGGTCTAATGCACCTAAGTGGCATGCAAGGATTTACAGAATTTATTTCCACTTTTGTTTCATAATATTTTTTTCTTACTTATTTTTCCTCATTGATTTTTTAAAAATAATTTTTAAATTTTAGAATAGTTTTAAGATCACTGATATTTAAAAGTTAGGAGTGAAGATACCATTGCCGATTAACTATTATAACTGTTTAGGGATATATCCGTTCTTCAATAACATGGTATAGCTTCACAAAAATAAGGCAGAAAACTTTTCCTCTTCCCCTTCCTGAAAATTCAGTCCATAAAGTAGGGCTGTGCAAGGTAGGCACTCGTGGGTCCTTGGGTGGGTGCATGGTGGCCCAGAGCGAGGTATTAGAGTGGGGTACTGAGCAAAGGGACAGCCTGGCATGGAATGCAAGCACCAAGAGGGTGAGGAGGGTGTCCAGGCAAGGGCCAGGGAGGTGGGAGACCGGTTATATAGAGCGGGATTGTTAAACTAAGTAAATATTTTAGGGATGATGGGAGCCAGGTTTCTCACAATCACATAAGGGAGTTACAAATAGAGAAAGGGAGAAAACTAGAATGAACAGTAGTGCTGGATTAGAATTAGAAGTTATCAGAGTTTATTAGAAGTATAAACTCAGAATTTTCAGTGTTACAGATATAGAAATAAATATAGGTGTCAATGTGTCTGTGGATACACATATGTGTCTATTACTTACACACAAACATGTATTTCCCAGCTGTGTACACTGAAAGAAGCAACACTCCAACAGCAATGAGTTTAGTTTGTTTCTAAACACAACTCTCCACTAAGAGTGACCACGACTCCTGAGCAAAACAGCTGATTCTAGGACTATGGCAGGGAACATTCAAGATAAGCCTGGAATATCTTGTTGTAAGGAAGTGTTCCAAGAAGATGAGGACATATCAAAAGGACATATGAACCAGACAGAAGGGGTTCCCATCGGCCAAATCTGGGCCAATCTGACCATCAAAACTGTGATGGATTATAACTCAGGGAATAAAACAGGAATCTTGAGTCATACCAATATAAAGTTTGATGAGGAATAGGATATTTACATAGTCTCAAAGCACCTCCTCACAAAATATTTATTAATTACAAAGGGAAAAGAATTCTTTTACACTGGAAAAGTCTGGCAGACACCACTTTCATCAAAGGGTTGAAGTTAACATCACCAAACTAGTAATAGGACAATCTGAAGCTGTGTGTCGCTGATGGGATGCGATGAGAACCCATCATCACTTCTATGATATTCCTGCCAAAGATACAAAATCTAATCTTAATCATGATGAAACTTCAGATAAACCAAAACTGAAGGACGCT